GAATAATTCTGTTCAAGCTTATCTCTGCCTTCAGAAGTAATTACATGGAATTTTTTAAGATCCTTGTATTTACTTTGAAGAGTTTGATATCATTCCAACATTTTTGAAATACACAAATCTAATTCACAACGAGAGAGTTTAGATAATACCTATGAGTCTGAGTCTGATTTTGATTCTGATAGCATTTTGTCTTCTGGTTCTCTAGAGACTTTAGCGTTAATTGTTGTTGCCACTAATGCAACATTTTCCCGTTCTTCATCAGATTCTTCTTCTTCAGAGTCAGAGTCATCCCAAGTTGCCAAGAGTCCCTTCTTGACTTTGGTGAAGTTTTTCTTAGGCTTCTTATTTTTCTTAAGCTTTGGACACTCGTTCTTGTAATGATCTGGCTCATTACACTCATAGCAGATGACTTCTTTTCCAGAACTCTGCTTCTTTTTTTCGAATGATGAGTCAGAACGGCCATTGTTCCTTCTTGATCCTATGAACTTCCCTTGCCTATGTTTCCAGAGTTTGTTGATCCTTCTAGAGATTAGTGATAGCTTATCTTTAGAGTCTTGTCAGCTTGATAAGCCTTTTCCTTTTCAGGCTTAGACTTAAGATCAATAGATTTACTCTTCTTCTGAGGTTCATCTTCCTCCAGCTCAATCTCGTGAGTTCTTAAAGAACTAATAAGTTCTTCAAGACTTATACTGTTCAGATCTTTGGATAGCTTTAGAGCAGTTACCATAGGTCTTCATTTATTGGAAAGACTTCTGATAATCTTCTTGACATGATCAGTAGTAGAATATCCTCTATTTAGCACTCTGAGTCCTGCTACCAGCATCTAAAATCTTAAAAACATAGTTTCCACAGATCCATCATCATCCATCTTGAAGGCTTCATATTATGGATTAGGGCAAGAGCCTTTGTTTCCTTTACTTGAGTATTTCTTTCATGAGTAATTTGAAGTGACTCAAAAATGGACTTGGCAGTTTCTCTATTTGTTATTTTCTTATACTCTGTATAAGAAATAGCATTAAGCAATATAGTTCTAGCCTTGTGATAATTCTTGTATTCTTTCTTTTGTTGATTTGTCATAGCACTTCTTGACACTTTTACTCCTTCAGCATCAACTGGGAGAGTATAGCCATCAACTACAAGATCTCAAAGATCTACGTCGTAACCAAGAAACAAACTTTCAATTCTATCTTTCCAGAAGTCAAACTTTTCACCATCAAAGACTGGTGGTTTGACACTATAGTGATCTTTCTCTTCTGGAATATGATTAGCATTAGCGGCAACCATGATATCTCACACAAATACTGAATCAGCACCGAACACGGTGAAGTGTTAATAAATTTTTTATCATAATCAAAACCGGAGCTCTGATGCCAATTGAAGGTATGAGAAAATACAAGAAAGGGGAGTTTGAATTGGGTTTTTAAAAATGAAAGCTTTTTGTGAAACTTAAACAAATATCACAAAGATACTAATAAGAGAGAAAGAAACACGATATATCCTGGTTCACTTGAAAACTGTCAAGCTAATCCAGTCCACCCGCCAAGGTGATTTGTCCTTATACACAAGGACTTAATCCATTATAATCAACTTATTACAATTTGCACTAGCAACTGCTAGTGACTAACAACAAAGACTAACTGTCTTTTCTTAAGGATTCTGACCCGACTGATCCCTTAAAGAATTACAAACAACTGTTTGAGAAAATAAATATTTACAATAAATTTGCTTCTACACAAGCAGATATAAACACTATGAGTATCACAAATTACTTAAAGAAAAATTTCATAGTATGAATATTATTCTTGTGTTGTATTTCTTCAGGACTGTTCTTGTTCTCATACATTCATTTTTTCTTCAAGTGGTAAGTTCCTTATAAAGCCAGTAAAAGATTTGTTGGAGGGCACATCAGAAATATCCTTGAATGAGCTAGTGGCTTGAAGGAATGTTGTTACGCAAAGATGAAAATCGTACACAAAAGTTGTCCTTTGTACCACCAAATCAGGATAGTGGAATGGAATGTTGATACGTACTATGTACTATTTTCCCTCGTAAAATTTTGATCTTATATTTTTTACATCAGAGGCTTCTGAATAGAGATGATTGAAGCAAGCGGGTAAGAGTTGATCACAGAGTCTTCAGAATCCCGAGTCTTTAGAGTCTTCCGAATTTTTTCATCAGAACCTTGTCTTCAGAACTTTAAGCACTCAGTCTTCAGAATCCTTGGTCTTCAGAAACTTAAGTCTTTAGAGTCTTCAGAACTTCGTTCATCAGAACCATGTCTTTAGAGTCTTCAGCACTTAGTCTTCAAAAGATAGCGACTTCAGAAGCTAGAAAGCCTTCAGAAGTAAAACGTCAGAGTCACGCTCAGAGGAGGAATCCAAGAGAACATTGCAGCTGTAATATATTGTCTTCTTAGAATCATTTTGAATGTGAGTAGATCAAAAGCAGACTTGCTTCTTTGGCGCAGAAGCAACTTTTGGTCAAACCATATTGTTATTGTATATGGTCTTTATCAGAGTCAGAGCCTTTTTGTTAATCCTTTAGAAAAACAAACGTTAGAGTACCAAAATTGTTACTACTTTGTTATTATTAAAACTTAGAGATAATGAGTATAATAAAATCTTGTTCTAACAGGTTGCACCTGTAACTAGACACGAAACAATCAGACTGCTGATTTCTATAGCTGCTAATAGAAATTGGCATCTGACGCATTTAGATGTGAAATCTGCATTTCTTAATGGTACTTTAAAAGAGGAAGTTTATGTATTACAACCTCTTGGATTTGTGAAAAGAATCAGGAATGGATGGTTTACAAGTTGCATAAAGCCTTGTGTGGACTGGCTCCTAGAGTCTGGAATATGAAAATTGATTTATTTTTCAAACTTCAAGGATTCAAAAAATGTGAGATGGAGTATGGCGTTTATTTTCAGCATACATCTGATAACAATATGATTATGGTGTGTCTTTATGTTGATGACATATTGCTAACATGAAGTTGTTCATAAGAGATAGATAAGTTCAAGAAGGTGTTGATGAATGAGTTTGAGATGACTGATCTAGAAAATATGACATATTTTCTAGGAATGAAGATTTTGTACTTTAATAAGGGTATAATCTTGCATCATCTAAAGTATGACCTTGAGCTTCTTAAGAGATTTGATCTGATAAAATGCAAATATGTAGTTACACCTTTTAAGACAAACCGTAAGTTGGACTCTGGTTTTAAATGTGATGATATAGACGTTACAAGTTTCGAACAATTGGTTGGATGTCTATATTTGTGCAATAGCAGACCTGACATTTGTTATGTAGTTGGAATCGTGAATAGGTTTATGAATAAAATAAAGTGGTCACATTACCAAACTGCTTTCAGGATACTGAGGTATATTAAAGAGACTCTAAGGTACAGAGTTTTGCTTCTGTCTAATGCTGAATCAGATTCAGAGCTCATGTGCTATTCAGATTCTGATTGGTGTGAGACAGAGTTGACAGAAGTAGTACTTCTGGATATTTTGTCAAGTATCTAAAAGGTCCTATTTCCTATGAAGTTGAGTACATTGCAAGTGCATTATCTGTCTGTCAAGCTGTGTGGATTTTAAACTTGCTGCACGATCTGAAGATCAAGGTGAGCAAGCCTGTGAAGTTGGTGATTGATAACAAATCAACTATAAGCCTTACCAAGAATCCAGTATTGCATAGAAGAAGCAAACACATTGACACAAAATTTCATTTTCTGAGAAATCAGGTTCAAAATGAAATACTTGAAATTGATTGTAACACTCAGAAGTAGATGGCAGATGTACTGACTAAGACAATCAAAATTGAGCACTTTATCTATTTGAAGGATGAAATTGGTGTTGTTGATTTTAATTTTGAATGTGGATTAAGGAATGGTGTTAAAGTGTGTAATCTAAATTCACATTTAAAATGGATTTAATTTGATTAGCATTTAACTTTTATTTAGTTAAACTTGAGTATATAAGCAATCCTCTGTAATAGAATTGTAGAGTTAGAATTCATTTGTAACAGAATTTTAATTCAGTAAAAAGTTACTTATAACTTTTTTCTCTTTTTTCTTTTTCATTTTCATCGTCTTCATCTTCTCCATTAACATGGTTATTGTTTTATTGAAGAACTAGATACTACCCGCGTGTGTTTTCGGTGTATATGGAGTTAAACTCCGGTTTAGTCCTTGAAGTTGTAGGATTAATCAATTTGGTCCATGGAATTAGATTTTCATTACTATGGAGGGGTTATTGATATGATTGTATCTTATATTCAATATTTGTGAACATGTAAATAGTTCCTTACAGGATCATCAATGGAAGGAGACTCAGACACTAGTAGTGTTGTTGGTGGTGAGAATGAAATCAACTTTGACGACAGCGCAAATGGAAAAAAGACGAATGAGTAATTTTTGGATGGGCATGGAAATCAGAATTTCAGATCATGCTAGGCCAGAAGAGTTAGAGAAGAGACAACAGATATGTGGTTTAGTATTGTTATATCGCGCATTCATCACATTTGATGCGATTGATGTCTAAGGATACCAGTAGTGCAATCAGCGATGAGAACCACTTTGAATTGTCTCTCTCTTTTCTATTCTCAGTTTTTTATCTGTGGTTTTCTTGCTGATAAAGAAACCGATCATACTCTATTATTCTGGCATCGATTTCGCAGAGTTATTGATATGATTATATTTTATATTCATTTGTTATAGTAATTAGAAAGTAGATCTTGCTCTGATGAATATGAGACATTTTTTTTGTACTTAATAAGATTGCCACTGATATATACATTTCTCTGCATCTCTACATGTATTTCATCAACATATACTCCAACCAAGTACATGCAAAAAAGAAAATACTAGACAAAACATCATGACTTTATAAACTTTATAATGTTAATTAGTTTTCTTATTATTACTAAGTATACATAGATAATGAAATTCTCAGATTAAACCTTGCTTAGCTCGAATTCCGACCGTAACCGCGGTTTCATCATGCAATACTCACCAGAGTTGTTAGTCTTTCACTTCTTACAACTTCAGTTATCAAATCTTTGAAGATCAATCTTTCAATATCCAACACAAGATTTGGTATCTCATTGCAGCATTCTGTAGTTGTGCAATGCTGCACCGAATCTTCCGAAACGATACTCGTCAAATACTCGTCCTCGTTAGCCAGGTCGACGTTGCGATTATAATGCTGTAGTTTATCAATTTCTGTGCAAAGCATGTCCAGAAGCTGTTGTCCTTCTGGTTTTCTTCCTTCCGGATGATATGGCTTGTAAGAACTCTCGATTATAAGCTTCTGAAATAGAATTTCGCTTACCACGTCGAATACGAGCTTTCTCTGCATCTTCTCTTGTGTGTTGTTTGTCTGAGCAATGTTGAAATTCGTCGTGTTTGTTTTGATTTTCTCTAGTGCAAGAAACAACGTTGGGTTAATCGGGTAACCCGAAAAATGCAATGCCTTGCTAGAGCCGGGACTGGTGAGTCTCCCTGATGCTAGCAGTATTTCTGATATATATTTGTGGTCGGGATCTTTGTGGTCGCTGAAATTCGTAAATCTTTCATCGTCGCTGTGGTCAAATTGTTGAAGAACTTGAACCAAATTACGAGTTATCAAGTCAATATCGTCGGTTCCATCGCTGAAGTTGACTTTCGTGTTTGTGTTGGATGAAAGAGCGACGTCTTCTGAATCCTCCTCGCTAATACCGCAAGTATTCAGAGCTTCCTCTGTCGAAAAAATTCAAAGGGACTATTCATACGCGAATCGCATAAAAAATGTAATCGGCAAAGTGACTCATTTGACCGATAATTTTATACTATTTGACATTTAACGATGTTACTTGGAAATGAAGTTATCAACATACCTAAATCTTTTGAGATGTCTGATTTCCTTTTTACCGGAGAAGGTGGATCTTCTCGATAGAACGTAGCATCGAGAACAGAAACAGGACTTGGTTGTTCTGCAGTAGCTTTTGATTCAGCCGAAAGGTTTTCGTTGCTCGAGTCTTTTATATCACTGCTAGAAACAGCTTCAACTTGCTTAAAATCCCTCCTTTGATAGCCGATCTCACTGAAACTTTCACTTTTTTCCTTCTTAGTAGAGAATTTTTGTCTAGATGTTTTACTCGGGGAAGACAATTCCGTTGATTGCTTATTTTGTTGTCTTCTGTTACCGCTGATATCTGATGATGGGCTGGTTGGCGGGGAACGCCTCTCCAAACCGAACTTCTTTTGTAGTCTCGGACTCCTAGTCTCTGTTGTCATGCTGGAGCTGGTGTTGTTTTCTGCAACGATGACTCGAGGAACTTTCGAGGATTGGATCAATTTTGAAGTTATCTTGTTGCATTTATCACGAGGATCTTTGACATTTGTAACATCACCGCGGTAAACCTTGTTACTTGATGATTTACCAGGAATTGAACTTTCTGTTGACGAAAAATTATTCGTTTTCCTTGCACCCTTTGCTGGTTTCATGATGACAATTGGTGATTTACTACCCTGAGTTGAATTCGGCCTCTCAACAGCGACCGATGTCGGGTGCTTCTGCTGTGTTCTCGGGCTCTGTATACTCAAGCTTTCGCTGACACTACTATTACTCCTATTGTCATATGGAGAATTCGAAGCCTGATCACTTGTAGTATCTATTGATTCTTTGTATCTGTGCATTGCTTCAAGAATCTGTTTAAGGGCTCGAAGATCCTTTCCGGACTTTTTGAACTCGAGATCTGCCATCCTTTTCTCAATCTCACCGTAAACCGAGAGGGATCGGTTTGATGCTTTTGTCGAAGATTCGTTACTCTTGGAAAATTCTGAATACGGTGTTACATTCGTGATCAAGCCATCCTTCCTAGACTCTATAAACGTCTCGTTTTTGTCAGTAATGCAGCTGTCACAAGCCTCATTCCAGTCGGGGAATGCTTCTATTCCCATCAACTTTGCCACAACGCTCGATGATCTTTTCGCACTTTCTGGTTCTTCTATCTGCTTTCCGATTGCGTTGGAGCCTCCACACGCTCTCTGTGGACCCTTCAAAAGGTTTCGAGTTTTCGCTCCTTCGTTGAAACTTTTGATTGATCTTTCCTTGCTGTCCAAGGAAAGCCTAGGAAGTTCCTTAAACTTCGTTGCAGATTTTAATGCAGTTTGTAAATCTCTCCCATCATAGGAGAGTCTCGGTGAATCCCAAGCAGCCATAGGCCGCGGAGAGTCTACATTTTTCAGTACTCGACTCTTCTTTTCCTGTTTAGCCATAGTTTTCACCGATAACCTTTGCGAATCTACACGCATTGAGTCTTTGACAATATCATGTAAATCAAGTGACTTATCGCGTTGCTTCACCACTGCTTCTGAGCTCGAGTCCTCGTGGATTTTCATTTGAGTTATCAACGGTGGTGGTTCTATCAGGATTGCTCGATTAAACTCGAGCGACGACATGCTAGACGAGCAAGACGACGAAAACATTGATGTCCCAGACGACAATTCCGCGGAGCATTGTTGATTCTCTCTTGCAACCTTCACATTCTTTGCCTTTTGTGTTACATTATTCACCTCTTTGATGTTATTACTTGTTCCCCCTGCGAAAGTCAAAAACAATTTTACAAAATCAATAAGTTAAAAATCACTTTTAATCAGAATCAATTTTACAAAATCAATATATTTAGAATAAATTCTTATCACCGCAAAATCAGCATCCCTATGTACCTAACAGTACTAAAAACTATTTAATAAATCATTTCTATGTATGGAAGTTGCGTATGGAATCTTAGAAATCTTTATAGAAAATCTGAAACCTAAAATGCTTCACATAATTATATAATTCTTGTCTTTTTTCACAAAACTACTATGTGTTACTGAAATGTACAGATTCTGAAATTCTCCCAGAAAAATCAGCATATTCTAGCTTCCAAGTTCCAAAAAGTCCTTTGTTTGGTTTTAATAGTAAATAAAAAATTAAAATTTTAAAAATAAAAAATAAATGAAAAACAAAAACAAAAAAACTTTTTTATTTGTTGCTTCCAATACTGTTGAAAGAAAGTGATTTAGACCTTCATGTCTATGTCAATTTGATTTTCTCCATTAATCATGTTTGATAGTTATGAGAAAAATTAGTTTTTTGGCACTATCAAAACCTTGTCTGCCTAATAGTTTACAAAACATTATTCAACTAATCAAGAGAATTTTTTTTCTTTAACTTATATTCAAAATCATATCTACATTATTTGTGGATTAACCCTTTGAAAAATTTAAAAATAATTTTTTTGAAATTTTCAATTTCTTAACTTGTAACTAAATTATGAATAGAGAGAATTCATATCATAAGACAAAAACATAACAAACACAATAAAAAAAATATCATCATTCATCAAAATTCATAACATAATAACATTAACAAAACAAAAGAAAACAAAGATATTGTAGATAACCTTGATTTGGTATATTGTTGTGACTGTTGGTTTGGCCTGTGAGGAATCTGTGACGGTCAAACAACTGAAAAAATCCACTAATACATCCAATTTGTTTCTGCAAATCTTGATTTTCATCCTTCTTTGATTTCAAACCCTTTTTAGACATGTTTTTTTAATTTCTTTTTGCACCCCCTTCAACTTGCACCCCTGTAATTCTCTGAACTCTATAAGGCTTTGGTTGAATATACAAGAAAGTTAAGATCTTTTGTTTTGGGTCTCACAATGTAATAAGAGTTTTGTATAAAAAATAGATGAAAGTTTTTCACAATGACTTGTCATGAGACATGTGTGAAGACAAGAGAATGTCTCTATGAACAAAAAAAAAGAGATAAATTAAGGATGATGTTGGGATTACACATAACAATTGGAGAGAATATGTTCTGCAAAAGCAGAAGGAACAAAAAGAAGTAGAAATGAAGCAATACCAAAGTGATATATGGTAGAGCAGTAAATTCAGAGAGATTTGATAGACCCAAGAAGAGATGTTTTTATATTATGTATCAAAGAGTGAGAGGTATTGTTAAGGCTATAAACTTTATAAAGTGATTGTGAGAGAAATTGTGATGTATTTCTATTATATATGATATGATGATATGATGAAGGGAACTTAGGCAACTAGGCAAGTGTTGAATTAGGTTTATAAAAAAATAATGTGTGATTTAGTGGCAAGTTTTTAATTAGATTACGTAAGAGAGTATGAAAAGATGAGTGGAATTTTGGGTGTCAAAATGTGAGAGAATGTGATGGAGTTATTAAAATAGCATAATAATCATAATCATGAACTTTCCAATGTTCATTTTTTAATACACTTTTTAATCTAGTCAAAATTTATATTAATTCCATTAAATTTATGCAGTTTTATATAAACTCTTATCAATAAACGAGTTAAATCTGACTGTTTTCCTCAACTACACAGTAAATTTTCATTAAGTTTTAATAACAATTTCTGTGTTAGATAAGAGTATCTTTAATTGGAGTAAATTAAATGGATAAATTAAGATATTTTTTGTGGGCCCAAAGTATTTTGTAGGATTTAAAAAATTTATTATTAATTTGAGTAGTTTTTACCTTAACGATGGTTGTCTATAAAAAAACTAAAACTTGACCCCACTATTTTCAAATATCATGTCATTACTTTAATGCGGTTGGAATATTTTATTAATTAAATAAATAATATTATAATATATTTCACATAGCTAACGTTACGCTATATTGATAATGGAAACTAAATTTTAGTTCACATAGATGTCATGTCAGCTCTATTATAATACAAATTCTTTATTACTAACGTAAGGTATACAAAATTTTGGTTTAACAACTCTCCACTAAAGTTGCTCTAAGTCATTCAGAGTTTTACTCTATCCTTGCAAATTGACGTTAAAATTAATCTTTTTGAATTAATTTGGCATGGCATGGTAAAGTTAGAGATTGAATAACATTAGTAAAAGAAAATATATAATAATAGTTTGAAGAAAGAAGAAAGATGGTGAAAGGGAAAGGTGTGTATGTATGAAAAATGGTAGATCAAGGACTCAGATCTGCTATGGTCATTTCCTATCATTTGTATGGGTAGACAGTACAACGTGGGTGGGTCTGTGGGTTGGACCTCTAGCAAGGAGCATGTGGAGTTTGTCAGAGGGAGGAAAGACACAAAAAGAAGAGGGAGAGAAAGAGTGGAATTTGTACCAAAAGAATATCAAAATTGAAACAACAATGTAGGGGCTAACAATAGTACTATATAGTCGGAAAAAAACAAAAAATCATCTCCGATTTGAATAATAATCAATGTATCTGATCCATAATTCATATATGTGTTTTAGTGAAACAGTCAATAGTAAAGTGCCGGAGAGAATGAACAAGTAGTGCAATTAATGTCTATGTTGTAGTACTTTTGTGCAAGGTCAATATAGAACCTTAACCATAATTGTGAAATGGAAATTGAACAACATTGGATACAAAAACATTAAGTGCTCTAATGTATTATGCCAATCAAGCTAGCAACAAGACTGGTTCATTGGCAAGGCTATGTTTGGCTGTGTGGTTTTTTGTAGATATAAATTTCGGAAATGTGGTCCAATGTGTAGACCCAAGTATCATGCAAAGCTAGACATGTACCTACTTTAGAGCATGTTAGGACCATTAGCATTTCCAAAATGTTGAGTTTATTAGAGAATAAGCAAATTTCAATGGATCCTCTGGAAATTGTATCATTATTTTTCCTAAAAGCTTTTGGTCCCATGCTTCCCACTTCTTTCAGACAGTACCACATGTTATTAATGTTCAATATATTAAATATTAATTCCATCAGTTATTACATTTTAGATTTAAGAGAGACGAGAGATATTAGAAATTATTTTCGGCATAATCAGATGTTTTGGGTGAGAGATGTTAAAGGATTGTTTTTGATATAATTAGATGTTTTTGGTCGAACTCAGTTCTAAATATGTATTAGTGTAAAATTTTGTTATGAGAAATTTTTACGGTCCATTGTGGTTCTCTGTGATTTGAAAAATTAGTCTTTAATTTTATGGATTATTGTGATCCTCTGTGATTTAGGCATTAGTGTCTATTAGTGTCTAGTTTTGCCGTCTATTACGATTGCGTTTTTTATTGTGGTTCTTGGCCATTTAAAAAATTAATAATTAATTTTAATGCGCACTATGATTCTCTGCCATTTGAAGGATTAATCTACAGTTACATGTATATTATATTCAATTTAAAAAAATTAGATTTTACTTTTATATATATATATATATATATATATATATATATATATATATATATATATATATATATATATATATATATATATATATATATATATATATTTGTGAGTTTTTCTAATAAAAGAGCTGGCATCAATTAGTAGAGAAAGTACAAAAAGGAGTTATTTGTCAATTTTTTTTCTTTCAAAAAGCTAAATGAAGTTATATTAAAAATCAACATAGACATGGCACAAGGAATGCCAGACACAAGAACAGGAACAGCAAAATTGTCTTGAAGTTTTTGTCAAATTGTTTTAACAACTGTTTTTCACAATTAATATATTTTTTAAATAAAATAATAACATTTTTCCTACCCATCACTTTTTTTATATTTTCCACTACCATCTTTTTTTTTAAATTGTTTTTTAAGTTTTTTTCTTGTCACACCTTATAAAATTTTTATCCTATTTCAATTACCCAAATATTTTAAACTAAAGTTAAATTTTCAATTGCCATCCAAAATAATTTTTCATATTTCAAAATTTTTTGTTTTCACAATAATTTTCTCTTTTTTTTTTTTTATATCTTAGTCTTGAGATCTGCTCTGAAATAAAAACTCATCTAAATTATTTGTAAAGACAATACATAATGTGTTTTGCACTATGGAAATTCAAATTATAATTTTTTTTTACCTTTATATCTAATGATTATCCACAATGCTTAACAAGGTACACTTGAAACAATCAACCCTTTTCATGTGCACTTTACTTGTTGATTCAATTTCATCATTATTAATTGTGTTATAATAAGAGTTTATCTTCTACAAATTATTGGTATAATGGTGGTCCTGTATAAAATACTAAATACAGTAATGTATTTAGTTTTATCCATAAGCTCCCACAAATTGTACCTACAAAGTACACTATTGTGGTACTCGTTATTTGATGCCTTATACGAGCTCACCATGTGCACTATATATATATATATATATATATATATATATATATATATATATATATATATATATATATATATATATATATATATATATATATATATATATATATATATATATATATATATATATATATATATATATATATATATATATATATATATATATATATATATATATATATATATATATATATATATATATATATATATATATATATATATATATATATATATATATATATATATATATAATATTGTATTTTAATTTATAATTTAATTGAATGTACATGTAAAATGTATACAGTCATGCATAACTATTATTCTTTATTTTATATTAAAAAAATAAAAAATATTGGTTAATTTTTGTGTTTTTTTAATTTACCATAAAAAGATAAGAGAAATGTTTATTATAAAGATAAATATATTTTAGATTTGTCCCGAATATATGTAACTATTATTTATTTAATTAAGCTTCTCTTCTAAAAATAGTAAGTTTGGTTACTTCATTTTTTTTATCAAATCACATTTTCTCGCCATTTTCATTCACTAAATCACATTTGCTTGATTTTTTTTTTTAATTAAATCACAATTTCTCGGCATCTCCATTCACTAAATCACATTTGGAGGAGAGGTATGTTTTGTGTGTGAATGAATATATTTTTTTATCTTTTTCATTTAATGAAATATGTAGTCATTTTTCATTCTTTTCATTTAATCGGAGATATATAACACCCTAAATAATATACGTATATAATTATACTATTTAAAATGTTAAAACATAATCTTAGAGTACAACAAAAGAATCTACATGACATCAATACATATAATACACAAGATCCAAAACAAGATACATGCATAAATGAGATTGCGGGTACAAAATAATACTAATACATAATATACAATGGAAAATACAAAATAGATTACATACGCTTCAAACTCTTCAAACCAACTTGCATTTTTCCTTTGTCTTGCACTTTATTACATGAAATTTTAAACATGAGATGAGATACAACTATCTGAGTGGAGTTCTAACTAAACCATAAGTTTGCTCGATCAATATGTTGGTGTAAGCCCTAGAGGCCAATACTTTTTGGTACTTGTATCGGATTATTCGTTTAATAATAAAAGGCATTTCTTTATTATGTTTGTCTTTCAGAATAATAAAGTCCCTAGAATAGTTAGTCTGTTTAATGAAATGTTAAGTGTGACTTAATCATGAGATCCCATTAAACATAAAGACATTATTCTTAAAATATCCGTAGTCAATCTTTATTGCAAAGTGGGATAACATTAAAAGCATTGAGACTATTATGAAGATAGACTGATGATCACATCTCATGGATCATGGATAAAGAGTTATCAAGTCTTGACATAGGTATAAATATTAGGAGTAATATTTATACCGGATTGACCCGCTATGAGAATACTACATAGTATGTTATGC